GAAAAAAAAAAAAAAAAAAAAAAAAAAAAAAACACAGCATAGAACAGCAGTGAAACAGGTGGTCTCAGGAGCCTAGTTGTCCAGGATTTTACTCTAGATCTACCTCTCATGAGCTTTGTGACATTGGGTAACTCTTTAAATCTCTATATACCCTAGACACCTCACTGTGCCCTTTAAGAATTCACAACCCACAGAATCCGTGAGCTTAATAAAACAGCTGTTGTTTTACACCATATATTCAGGATGGTTTGTTATGCTGCAAAAGATATCTAGAACATCTACCTAAATAGATTAGTTCTCCAAAAGCCAAGCCAAGCATGTGAGAAGGAACCCATAAAACTAGATATATTTGAGACTTGTGGTGTCTTAGTATTCACCCAGCTGAATTCTTCCTTTTTGCTGAGAAGAGACCTGAGGCCAAAGGATTTCCAGTGTTCCCTGGTGAGAGAGCCCGGTCAAGATCACAGCTCAGCTTCTTCACTTTCCCACCTGGAGCATCGACAGGCGCTGTGTGGAATTGCTTCGCAGAACTTCACTAATACAACAATATGACAGTGGTAACACCTACACCTGAGTGCCTGGCACTCTCTAGGTGCTTTTTATATATTAACTCATTCAATCTTCACAACAACCCTATAAGGTAAATACTATTATTACTCTCAATTTTCTAATGAGGAAACTGAGGCACAGATTAAGTAACTTGCTAGGAAACTGTGGAGCCAGGATTAGATGCCAGGTGGTCTGGCTGCAGAGTCCATCCCGAAGAGGCAAAGAAAAAGCAGGTTGTGTAATGGGGCCTCACCTGATGGGGCTGATAGGGGACTGGAGGGCCTTCCTTTCACGCTCTGGCAAAGGCTCCCAGTGGAAATCCAGTTCCCAGTCCAGCACCCCACGCTGCAGGTCCTTGGAGGGGTAATACTGGAAAGTCTTCCAGTCAATCACATCTATGACTGGAGACACCACCCGGCTCCTGGAAAGAAGCATGGAATCAAACAAGGGAAACAAAGCATTTACTTGCTGGAGGATGAAAATGAAGTCTATACTCCTACGTGTACTCTGCAATATAGCAGCCATCAGCCATTCATGCCTATTGGGCACCTAAAGTGTGCTTTGTCCTAATTGAGATGTGGTGTAAGTATCAAATACACACCAGATTTAGAAGACTTAGTATAAAACAAAGGATGTAAAAATCTCAAAAAATTTTATATTGATTATGTGTTGAAATGATAATATTTTGACTATATTGGGTTTACTAAAATATATTATTAAAATTAATTTCATCTGTTTCTTTTTATTTTGTAATGTGACTAGTAGAAATTTTTAAATTATATATGTGGCTCATATTATATTTCTATTGTGTATGACTATTGTAGAAAATGTTTTTCTGTAAGGAATTGAGGCCCCTTTCATTAAGAGCTGATGGAGTTTGGATGTGTTGTCCTCTCCAAAACTCATGTAGAAATTTGATCTCCAGGGCCAGCCCGGTGGCGCACTGCTACAGTGCGCCGCTTGTGAGCGCAGTGGCGCCCCCGCCGAGGGTTCGGATCCCACATACAGACCGGTTCCCGCTCACTGGCTGAGCGAGGTGTGGGTGTGACACGGAGGGTTGCGATCCCGTTGCCGGTCCCGGTCCGGTACGGGCGCAACACTGAGGGTTGCAATCCATTGCCGGACATGAAAAAAAAGACAAAAAGGAAAAAAAAAAAGAAATTTGATCTCCAATGTGGCAGCACTGGAAACTGATTGAGTCATGGGGGTGGATCCCTCATGAATGGATTAATGCTCTCCCTGGGGGTGGGGGAGTAATGAGTGAGTTCTCACTCTATTAGTTCCCATGAGAGCTGGTTGTTTAAAAGACCCTGGCACCTCCTCTCTCTCTCTTGCTTCCTCTTGCCATGTGAACTGCTTGTACCCTCTGGCTGCCTGCCACATTCTGCCATGAGTAGAAGCAGCCTGAGGCCTGTGCCAGATGCAGCTGTCCCAGAATCATAAGCCAAATAAACCTCTGTTCTTTATAAATTACCCAGTCTCGGGTATTTCTGTTATAGCAACACAAATGGACTAATGCAAGAGCATTCTTACCCCCTTTCTTTAAAAAACCTCTTTTGACAGCACTGAGAGAGAAAAATGAGATTCTAGGTTGAGCTCTGCCACTAATGAGCTGTGAGATCTTGAGATAGCTGTTACACCTCTCTGAGCCTCAGTTTCCTCATTTGTAAAATGGGAGATTGAACTACTTTCCACAAAGGTTTCTCCCAGCTGTAATGCTCTAGCACTGTAGTTCTTAAATTCTTTTGTGGTTTTGGATCCCTTTGGGAATCAGGGAGGAATCTATGGACCTTCTGAGAAAAATGCTCATATGCCCATGTGCAAAATATTGTGCACAATGTCAGAGTGTTTGTGGACTCTTACTCGAGATCTAGTTCTTTTTTTTTTTTTTTTCCTTTTTGTCTTTTTTCGTGTCCGGCAACGGATCGCAACCCTCAGTGTCGCACCCGTACCGGACCGGGACCGGCAACGGGATCGCAACCCTCGGTGTTGCGCCCGCACCTCGCTCAGCCAGTGAGCGGGAACCGGTCTGTTTGTGGGATCCGAACCCTCGGCGGGAGCGCCGCCGCGCTCCCAAGCGGCCACCAGGCTGGCCCGAGATCTAGTTCTTGATCCTCCCTGTGTCATAAAACTTGATTGGCTTCAGGAATCAGATTGCCAAGCCCTGGAAGTGTCCCTACTTTTTAATGCATGTGTATATGAGCACATGGTATCTACAAGCAAACCAAAGTCCTGAGTCTAGGTTTATTTGCTCATTTCCTGCTGCTGTTGGTGGTTGAGTTTTATCCCCCCCACCCCTTTTTTTTGCATAGCATGGAGATATGACCTCAGAGGGAGTGATGAGGGAAATTGGTACAGGTAGGAAATTTCACATTTTAACTGAACAGGCAATCACTTGAGTAGACCAGAAGCTGCTCTCCACCTAGTCAATATCTCAATCACATTCTTTTATGGCCTCTCATGTTAGTTACTTCTAAAATCTGTACCACAGTATGGATTAGGCCTGAGGGGCATCTGGAAGGTACCACTCTAAGAGAAGTGAGATTTCTGGAAGGAGAGACACCAACCATGCTGTGTTTATACTCCCATCAATTTCAATCTCTGCTCCATCCATCTTGGAGATAGGCAGGGCTGGAGCGAGCTCAGGTCATATGGAGAGGGCCAGGGTGATACAGGGATTCAATTATCTGCTTCAATCTGTGGCCTTAAGTGACTTAAGTTGATGTAAGGAGCCAGGGGTCTATATTTAGAGCAAGCATCTTGATATGCTTTTCCTGCCCTTTTTGCATTGTTACATTGAAAGGCAAAGAGAACTTAATCCTTCTGGGTCTCTGCTATTTTGGGGTACCCTGAGTTGACCTAAGAAAACTGAGAAGCAGCATCAAAGAGAAAAGGAGGACACGCGGACCCCTCTCAAGTCTTCACTTACTCTGGAATGGACTGGGCAGATGGAATGGATTTGGCTATTGGCAAAACATTTCGTGGAATTTCAGAATCAAGAGCCAGGAAAACCATGTGGCTAGGTTTTGAAGAATCACATCAAATTTGTGCCAGCTTCATCAATCATAACAAGAGAAGAAAGGAAACTGCATTCAAGCATCCACATAATTCACCTGAGACCTTTGTGCTGTGGACTTCTTGACAAAAGTGTACATTATTTTTTTATCAGAAAATGAGAACTCTAAAATTCACTGTATTTCTCTTTTTGCATTGTCTTTCTGGAAGCCCAAAGTCTTTTGTAAAACTCACTTCTAATAACTGTATTACCCCTGATTCCTAAAACCTTCTTTTCTTTTCTGAAATCTCATTTTTCCTCAATTTTAACTGGGTACATAAGTGATTAATCATGAGCCTTCTTGAGTATATTTCAGGTAGTGATGAAGAATAAAATATCAATAAATGAAGTGAGCCATATTTTCTGTTTTGTTTTTTATTCCCATGGAGTATTGTGGCTGCCTAAGCAGATCTGAATTAGTGAGTAACTGCAGTCTAGCGACTCAAAAGGGTGATTAATTAAAACAAAAAACCCTCCTCAGTCTTATATTTAGCTTTGTGTTTTTGTACCTACATATGTGCCTTGGAAATCCACTTAAAGCAAAATAGCAAAGCTCCCCGTTTGAGGTGGAAGGAGCTTGGAGTGTTTGCTTTCTCCATCAGTCCTTCACTTGTACATGGAGTCCTGCCTCTCAGGCAAGTACGAGGTCGATCCTCTGTTAAGCCTGTTTATGTTCCAGGAGGTCAAGTGTTTGGGTTTCAAAAGACAAACAGGCAGTCGATTTGTCAACAAAGACTGGTTAACTGAAATCTGCAAGGTTAATCACATCAGTGACACATAAGCCACTCTGACAGTTGAGGCATAGTGCTGGTGTTTGTGGAAAGTCTCATGCTGAGCAGCAGAAGGCTCTGAATTCTCTCTCTCCAGAGCTCTTGCTGCTCAGGTGTGACACCAGGACAGGTGCTGGCTCTTCCAGGGACAGATTTGAGGACTTGTCATGCCCAGGGGTGTGAAATAGGATGGGCCTGGAGAGTTTCCTTGGGGTGTCACACCCAAAGAAGGCTGCTCCCTCTGAGGAGCTGGAAGGCATCTCGATCCCGTGCTTCTCCTTAACATGCACGCTCTCTCTCACACACACACGCACACATTCACACGCACACTGAAACACACACACACCTGCTCACACCCTCACAGAGACATACACTTCCATACACACTCACAGACACACACACACACGTACACACACACACAGGATTCCTCAGACCGCCTTCCGTCATTTAACCCCTGAAGGGCAGAGGGATGGCAGGTGCTCTGTTCCCTGCCCCACCTTGCTTCTCTCTGCTGAGCAGGATCAGCCCTGGCTAAGCACGAGGTGAGGTGACCTTGAGGACTAGATGTCTCTCAGATAGGAGCCTGACCAGTCTTCAAATGGGAGACCACTTGGCCAACCTCTTGAGATGGTGGTGTCTTTCAGCCCCTACTAAGTTTGTCCTTTTCTCCTTAGGAACTTCATTTTTCTTGGGCTATGACTTCTATTTCATGGCTTGGGTACTAGAGCTGGCAGTCAGCACAAGGCAGTCGGGAACTGGATATGACAGCGACATGGTTGTTACCTTACGTAGAGGCCAGCCATCAATCAGCACCTCCCAGGTCTGCTTCTCACACTGGTGCCACCTCACAGATCTGGAGATTTCTCTCAAAGTCTCGGGGGACTTTCCACAAACACCAGCACTATGCATCATCTGACAGAGTGGCTTATGCATCACGGACCTGCTGAGGAATCCCGTGTGTGTGTGTACGTGTGTGTGCGTGTGTGTGAGTGTGTATGGAAGTGTATGTCCCTGTGAGTGTGTGCCCTAAAATCAATTTTTCCCAGACAGACTCTGCCTAGGGCTGCTATGCACAGTTATAGAAGTCACACTCCTCCACCCTGGAGAACACCTCTGACATAACAGATGCTGTAAATCTGCATAGTTATTTGGACAGTTTTCTGGCAGTTGGCATTTAAAATGTCTTATTCTAACAAAATCAGTATAGTATGACAAATTTTCTGAGGAGTGGGAGGAAAAAAAGAATAAAAGAACATGAGGAAGGGATTTCTACCACTTCAAACAAAGTTGCCATATGGCTAGTGGAGGACCTGCTCCATGGGCGGGGACAGGGAACACAGCTGGTAACCAGGCTCTGAATTCTTTGAGCAGGGTGACTCTGAAATAGCTGACTTGTGGCTTATCACATTGTTCACTCACCACTCCCACCTTGACTTTTTAATGAAAGCTCTTGGAGACCTTTCCCTGCTTTGGGGGCACTGGGTCCTCATCTGGTGACAGATGTCCTTTGACATGGGCCTCAGAGACACCTGGGTCCCCTTTCCTCTCTGAAAGAGCAGCAGCTATTAGGAGCTGCACTAATGGCTTCCACAGCTTTGTTTTACATGAGGGGAGCTGTCTTGGGCAGCCCAGAAGAAACGCTTGGGCAAAGTCCCTGGGGGAGTGAAGCAAACCTCGCTCGGGGCCGCTGTCCCAGGCCGCAGCTCACAGCATCCCTGTGTGGAGTGGGGAGGGATGCTAACTCAGAGACCAGAGAGGTAGCTCTTCTTTCAGAGCCTTACCTGCCGAGGCCTACAAGCTGGACACTGGGGCCCAGAAAAAACAGAGTGGACAGGAGGCCATGAATAAGGTGTGGGGATGAGGAAAGATAGCCATGTCACACAAGAGAGAGGGGACATAGAGAGGAAGCCAAGATCAGCACACCAAGATCAGAGGCCAAGGGTGTGTGGGTGTGTATGAGAGAGACAGACAGACAAAAAGAGACGGAGCAAGACAGAGAGATAGAGAAAATGGAAGAAAGGTTTGGTAAAGAGGGGATGGGGGAAGAACACACAAAGTTAGAATTTCTTCTTAATCGTAGAAGGCTTCTGAGGCAGCCCCTTTTTATCTATGGCTGAGGACACTGAGGTATTGCCCTGTCTTTCTCCCTCAGCCTAGAGTGAGAAATCTCCAGATCTGCAAGGTGGCACCAATGTGAGAAGCAGACATCAAGGGACTCACATCAGTGAATAAACACAAGTGCCACAAGCAGGGGTGGGGTTGGGGATGACTAATGTTTCTCCCTGACCAGCTTCTCCAAGTCTTAAAGAGAAATTACGCTTAATAAAAACAGCACTGGACCCAGAGTCAGAAGACCTGACTCAGCTCCTGGTTCTCTGTGTGCCCTCGCACATCATGTCACCTCTCTCAGCCTCCCTTACCCCTCTATGAAGTGGAAGTCAAAGTACCTGCCAGAGCCCCCTCACAGGGGAAGTCTCAGAAAGAAGTCTGCTAAGATTATACATACATAAGTCTTATCACCATTAATTACTGGGTTCCTAAATGTCGCACAAAGAAGCCCAGTTGTCAAGTGGCTGTGTGACCCTGAGGGGTCTCTTTGCCCTCCCTGGAACTCAGGATTTTCAACAGTAAAATCATGATATAGGAAGAGATGATCTTCAAGGTCGCTCTGAGACCCATTTGTCTGTGACAGTCAGATGGGAATTAGATGGAGAATGGACAAGAGCAACTTTAGGGTCTGACTTCAATGACACACAGTCACTGTGATTTTGAGATAGTCCTTTGCATGAAACAGAATCAAAGTTGGCAGGTGCTGTGGGCTGACTGAATTGTGTCCCCTAAATTTCATATATTAGAAGCTTAATTCCCACTGTAACTGTTGAGGGTGGGAAGTCCTACTATGGTAATTGAAATGTGGAGCCTTGAAGAGGTGATTGGATTGCATGACTGTGCAGTAGTGAATGGATTAAAAATGGTGCTCAGGGGAGTGGTTCTGAGGTCTTTAAAAGGAGAGCATGTGAGAGTCTCTCTGCTCTGCCATTTTCTGCCATTTGAGACCCCTGCATCACTCTTGCCACCAAGAAGACCCTCACCATAAGTGTTCCTTGGACTTTGGACTTCCCAGCCTCCAGAACTGTAAGCGATAAATTTTTTTTCTTAAAGATCACCCAGTTCCAGGTAATTTTGTTATAAGAACAGAAACGGACTAAAACAGCAGGCCTGTAGGGTTTGTGTGTCTTCTTGCCCTAGTCTGGCGCTGAATTTATGCACGTCTCCTTTTCTTATGTGATGTAAGGCAGGAGTGGGCAGCAATCTGCATCACAGAACTGGGCAGAATTAATTCATCTTGGTTTCACTAGAGTTTTGATTGCTCTTCTTTATTAAAACGAAACCACTGGACTATTAGCATTTTACTTTCTGTTGCTTAAGATGTCTTTCATCTGATAGAATGTTAACTCCTATACCTCCAGGGTCCATTCCTATGTTGTCCAGGAATTTTCTCATATGTGATCATCCCCAACTTCAAATGAGACACTAAACATTTACCACTGGTAGGAGTGCAAGAACAGAAGTCATGAGGCTTGGTCCTAGCATCAGCCCTATCTGGCTGGGCACCATCAAAAACAACCATTTATTGAGGTCCTACTGTTTGATAGGCCTACTTGGGCCCCAAGTGGGTGTGCCTGAGATGGCCCTGGGTGGGCTAGTCAACAGGTTTTGGTTTTCCTGCATGAAATCTTCAGATTAAAGGAAATGGTGGACAAACATGTTTAGGAACTGTTTGAGTTGAGCAAGGAGGTGAGAAAGGAAATGGCAGCATGACAAGGGAAGGAGAACAGAGAAATGGTCAAGAAAAATGTTAAGATGTTTGGCTAATAGGTATGTATTGCAACCCTTTCTAACTTCATGCTTCCAGGGGCACAACTTAGTTATAAAATTAGAGACCCCTTATGTAATCCACAGAAGCAAAGAATGCTAGTTCTCCATGAAACTTTAATGATCACAGAATCTAATGATTTCATTTTATGAATGAGTAATCTACGGCCTAATGTAGTTTAGAGATGTTTTTCCCCCAAGATTATGTTACAATCTTGATTAAAATTTCTGAATTTCCACCATGATAGCCATGGTAAGGTATTACCCCTCCCATGCAACTTAATAAGACTTTAAGTATTTGTGACTTAATAGAAGCTGTTCTCTGGGCCTCAGTTTCTTTATCTATAAAACAAGGTAGGTGGACTGGAAGACCTCTAAGCTCCCTTCCAACTCTAATTCCCTATGCTTCTTAAAAGGCTCAAACATCTGAAAAATACAAAGGAATAGATCACTTTCTAATGGTGGAGACTCAGGCACTTTCTCGGATGGTGAGTTGACGTTCCCTGAGTGGCAGGGTTGTAGACTGTTTCTCCCAGTCCCACCTCTCGCTCTGCGGACCCCAGGGGTTGAGTTACCTGTCACCAGCTATTCTGCTGAGGAGGGGCTCCAGCCAGCCAGGGTGGCACTCGCAATGGGCGTCCATGAAGACCAGCACATCCCCGGCAGCCCTGGTGGCCCCCAGCATCCGGGCCCCGATGGCACCCAGCCTCTTGTTGCTCCTGAGCAACTTCACACCCTCCAGCTTGGCCACATATTCACTGAGAGCAGACTTGAGTTGTCCTGGAATCGACAGGGTTGTGGTCAGTGGAGTACCAGATGCCATAGCCAGTGGGATGTGATGAGCATCACTAGGGTCACTGTCAGCATTTCTCTCTTGAAGTTGTGGTGAGCACAAGGGTTCCCCAAATCTAATACATTATTACGGTGTGGTTGTGTTAAGATGTAACATGCTTCCTTAGTTTGGTATGGGTCACGATTCTCTCCATTAAAAACCTGGAGGGATGGTGTCATAAAACCAGGAGAGGAGAGAACTTGCTAATGTTCTCTAAATGCAGATACTGTTGGCACCCCACTCAGAGTCCCTGGGATTCCTGTGACTGGTTTGGTTTGGTTTGCATGTCCCCAGCTGCTGTAGTGCACTGCTAATTGCAATCTGCCTACTTCCCTGGAGACTGGCCTTTGGGTATTAGAACTGCCTCTCCTGCAAGTACCAGCGAATCATGCCGGACACTGCCCCTGGCCCCAGTGTCAATGACTGACCATTGTATGGGTGCAAAAGCAGGACAGGCTCTGCAGTGCAGTTTACACTCCAGAGCTCCCCGGCAGGATCAGGCATGGCTGGACTTCACCTGAAACCACATTTTTGTTCATCTCCTTCCTCAGTCTCTCCTGCTCCACTATACCCCTACAGGTTTTCCCTGAGTGTACACCCTCAAAAAATCACATGCACATGAATCCCCAACTCAGGCTCTGCTTCTAGGGAACTGACCTGAGGCAGTGGTGAAGGAAGTCAGGGGCAGTAGGATCCATTAAATTTGGCAGCAAATAGGTCATTGCTGACCAAAGAGATCTCATTGCAGTGGTAGGGGTGAGTCTGCAAGGCAGTGGCGTGAAGAGAGACAGTGGAAGGTGAAAAACTGAGACCAAGAGTCTAGACAGCATTTTAGGAAGGATGGTTCTATAGGGGAAGGTTGAGGAAGACTCTTAAGGAGAAGGCGATGGAAAGGATGAGAGAGGCTTGTTAGGTTTTGTGTTTAAGATGAGAAAAACTTGACTTTGAGTGTGTGTGTGTCTGTGTGCACACTTGTCTACCAAGAGGAATAAGGCAGCAGAGATGGAAGGAATAACGTGTTCACAGAGAAGCAGTGGCTTTCATGAAGCCTTAGAAATGGAGAGTTCCCAGCCCAATGGACTAAGACCCCCTACAAGGGTGGGGATTGCATCTCCCCACACATCTCTGCTGCTCCAACCCCTAGTGCAGGGTCCGGTCCACAGTAGCATGCATTACACGTGTGTTGGACAGAACTGAGCCCAAACCAAGAATTTTCCCCACTTCCCCAGTCCACAGGCAGTCCTGTGTCATTAGCCCTGGTCCACTCCCTAAAGAGGGAACTCCGTTAGTCACGCTATTAAAATGTCTGAGTTGGCATATGTGAGAACCAGCCCTTAGTGTCTCCACCGTATTGCACACCACTGCTCATCTTCCCCAACATTCATTCTCCCCATCCACCTTCTCACAGAACTTTGTCAGGACAGCTAAAAGCACTCACCTCTCTTGCTGCTGGTGGCAGCTCTGGTAGAAATATACCGGATGAATGGTGCTATGGTCTGAATGTGTCCCCCAAAGTTCATGTGTTGGAAATTTAATCTCCAATGCAACAGTGTTGAGAGGTGGGGCTTTCAGAGGTGAACAGGCCATGAGGGTTCTGCCCTCATGAATGAAGGAATGCTCTTATTGTAGGAGTGGCATCCTTATAAAGGAGGATGCAGTCCCCTCCCCTCTCTCTCGCTCCTGACGTTCTCACCATGTGATGCCCTCTGCCATTTATGACTTAGCAAGAAGGCCCTCACCAGAGGCGGCCCCTTGATTTTGGACTTAGCCTGCAGAACCATCAGCCAAATAACCTGTTGTTTATAAATTACCTAGTCTCAGGTAGTCTGTTATAGCAGCACAAAACGGGCTAAAACAAGAGGATTCTGGGGAAACTATTGGTGTACTGATTTTTTTCTAAAAGGGCAAACTTGGCTGCCCTCTACCTATCTGCTCTTCACCCTTTTCCTGCCTGGAATGTGGATGTGATTCCAGAGGTGGAGCAGCCCTGTTATGATCAAGAGGCCCAAAGCGTACTCTAAGGAACGCAGAAGGAGCTGAATCCCCAATTCAGCATTGCGGGGTTGTCACACCAGTCCTGCATTGCCAACCTACAGGCTTCCTGTACTGTAAGAAAGATAAACCTCTACTGGTTGGTTAAGCCACTGCGGCAGGTTTCTGTTCTATGCAGCCAAACATAATCCCTCACTGACATTCCCACCAAACATTACTTCATGAGGCCTTGCTTGGGCTGATCATTGACCTTGTTAACTACAGACTTGTTAGTGTTATTTATATAGAATTCTAGCAATAGATTAAGAATAGATTATGGAAAAAATTCCAGACCACACTGGTGGTTTGACAGTCTCAGAGAGGTTTGAAGCAGGTGAGACCACAGGACTGTGTGGGATAGTGCTCAGAAGGAGTTGGTGTGGTCTTGAGTCATTCCTCTCAGAAAACAGCAATAGTAATGACTTCCATTAAGAAAGGGTCTGTCATGGGCTGGGCATCACATGCACTTTGTGACTGAATGATTCAGTGCAGGTGTTATTACCCTGGGTGAATAACCTGAAGCATGTCTAGCTGATTCCATCATACTGTACTACACTGAGTGACAGCAGCTTGACAACAGCTCGGGTGGCTCTGGGCGACTCACAGCATCTTTCTGTGTCTCGGTTCTCTTCCTATATAGAGTAGGGCTGGTAGGCCCTGCCCCTCAGTGTGGCCATGAGGATTAAATGAGAACAGTGTGTGGTGGCCCTTGTCAGGGCTCTGGGTCTTGGCAGGCACACAGGGAAGACAGACCTGGGGACAAATGGAGCCAGTGGTGCCCCTGGTTGTGGGAAAGGCCTTGCACCCCAGTGTCAGCAGGAAATGTGGGGCCACTGGCCAGATGGCTAACCTAATGGTGAGGGGCAGAGGGAGAGCTGGTGAGGAGACAGCAGTTACTTGCTGGGCATGGGATCCAGATACCCTCTGGTACGACTGGTCAGGGCTGAGGACATTGGTGGTGGCCCCACATCCCCAGGGACCAACTACTCCACTTCCTGCACTCCTGAGGGACACTTAAACACTGTTCATCAGCTGACGGGGGTGACCACAGGTGTGCTCCTGGGAGGACCCTGCCCCACATGAAGGTTTGGAGAGCCTCTGAGCACTTTCACCAGCTAACCCAGCCCAGTGCAGTACCCGTTCATCTGTCCTAGTGCCCAGCCAGATGTGCCTCAGTAACTCCACACATCCCCAGAGCCTCTGGCTTGTCTGATTCACTGCCATGCTAGCCTGGGTAAGTTCCCAATATGAGGACCTCAGAAAGAACTAACAGAGGCACTGCCACTCCATTCTGTCTTTGCTATTCCCCTCAAAAAATGCAAATGCTCAGTTTCCCTCGGAGCATTCTGATCTTCCCACAGGCCAGGAGGGGCCTCTGTAGATCATTTAGTTAAGCCAGAAATGTAGGCCTCATGCCCCAAGCCAGAGACTAGAGCAGCAGTTCTCAAAGTGTGGTCCATGGACCAGCAGCATCAACATCACCTAGGAAGTTGTTAGAAATGCAGATTCTTAGGCCAACCCCAGATCCAGAAACTGTGGGGTGGGCCAAGCAATCGGTGTTTTCACAAACCCACCAGCAGATTCCGGTGCACGCTCAAGTTTGAGAACCACTGACCTAGAAGCCAGGCGTTGGGGAGGGGAGGGCTTCCCCAGTAGTGAGTTTCCCATCAGAGGAAGCACTCAAGCAGATTCTACAAGTCTGGGTTCTCGGCCTGACTCTGCCCCACTTGGCATGGCTCAGCTCTGATTGTTTCTCTCCTCTGGGCCTCTGGGCCTCAGTTTCCTCATCTGGAAAGGGAGTGTGTTGGGCTAAACAATGATGAGTTAAGGACTAATGTGTGTGAAGTGCATTAGTCCTCACTGTCTAGGAGGCAGTGAGCACTCACAGTAGCCTCCCTCTTATGATTCTTATGAGTGTCCTTGGGAGAAGCTTATCGGACTATGTGGAGAGTGGAGACTGGAGCCTGGGAGAGAGACCCCCCTCCGCAAACAGCATCAGGCTGAAGCAACCCTCCCCAGGACCTCTCCTTGCTCAGCTTCTTTCCCTTCTCCGTCCTGCCTCCCCCGCTGTCTTGCTGGCTTCCCCTGGGACTCTTCATTAGTAAGTTACTTGCATGTATATAAATCCTCATCTGGAGGTCTGCATCTGGGAACCTTGCCTAAAATAGGTTCCCTGATCTTTTGCATGCTAACTGCCCCCAAGAGTCCAGGCCTCCCCAGGGAACCTGGAGGAAACCCATAGCTACCTTGCTGGCTATGGTCATCCACAAGGATGATCTCCTTCAGGAAGGCCCTGGGTGCTGTGTCCAGGATGCTGTGCACGGTTCTCAGGAGGGTGGACCAAGCCTCATCATGGAAGCAGAGGATGATGCTGGCCGTGGGCAGGCTGTCCCCAGGGTTTTGCTGCAGACACCTGCAGGGAAGAGAACCAGGGAGCCATGGGAAAGAGAAGGTTACAAGAAACACTCAACATCCTCTGACTCTCCAGGCCCTGGCTGGGGCTGCTCCCATCACATGGCTCTCCTCCCAGTACAACAGCTCTTATATATGTGGGTTTTCTTAAAATTCCATGTAGAGGGACTCCATTATACCCCACAGTACTGCAGTCTACTAGGTCCCAGTCCTCAGATCCCAAGAGCTCCTTTACCATGTTTAATTCAGTCTCTTCACTGCAGTTAAGAGGAGTTGCCACCATTCTTAGCAGACGACTGTCCTCATCTATAAAATGGGAATGGTTGACAATATTACCAACCTCGCAGAGCCGATGTGAGGCTTCAAAAGGATGATGAACATAGTTAAGTGTCCTATGAATACTGTCATCCATTCGAGGGCAGGGATACCATTTTCTTTATTGTTATGTTGCTACAACCTAAAACAGTACCTGGAATATAACAAATGTAGCTCTTGTTATTGACAAAGGGACAAGGACTGAACACTTGTGAGTACAAACAACATGCCAGACACTGTGCCAGGCCCTTTACACATGTTACTGCATGTTTATCCTATAATAAATCTGTGGGCTGAGCTATCCAACCCCCACTTTACAGATGAGGAAACTGAGGCTCACAGAGGAAGCAAGAAGCATCAATGTTCACATTACTGGTAAGCAGCAGAGCTGGAGGTTATACCTTCAAAGCTCTCGTGCTCTTTCCACCTTGCTGGACACGTGGGGCTGCAGGGTGTTACCCCTGCCGAGAGGCTGGCTCTGCTTTCCTCCCTCCTGTGTGGGTGACTGGCATGCTTGGTACTTGCTTTGCTTTACGTCTGTCGAGAGTCTGAGTGGGTCCACAGTGGAATGAATTATAACAACAACCTGTACGTGCAGCAGTGCAGAGCCCACGTTTGTTCACAGAAGGCACTTTCCTAAAATGTGTTTCCCAAGTACCACCTTCTAGGTTGTAGCTGCTAAAACCGTGTCCATCCCAAAGGGACATCTGAATAATGGTTATCTCAAACTTCCAACACCTAAAGTCATCTGTGAAGGTGGAACTGCAGGCAGAGTGACAACCAGACTAAGGCTGGTCCTGCCTAAGGGACATGCTATCTGAAAAGGTATCAGCCCATGCTGCTCATTCGCTGAGCATCCCTCTGCCTGGTGCCTGTCCTCCCCAAGGCTGAAAACTCCCGGTGTGCAGGAAACCTGTGTGTGCCTCTGAGGGCAAAATCCTGTGTGGAGGGGAGAACTGATTCCAGGTAAGTGCTTAAGGTTATGGTAAAACAGAATTCCTGGATGATTAAAAAAACGAAAACAAAAAAACCACATAAATATTTTGTAAACTAGCTAATTACTTTGTCAGTTTATGTACTTGTACATAAAAGATTTGAAGCCACTCACAAGAAATAAGAGTACATATAATAAAATGATGGTAATATAAAAACAAGTTGGAAAAGTCAGGAACCGGGACATATAAACAAGTGTAGGAAGCCAACATTTGAAAAAAGAACATGAATAGATTAGGTATTTTTGGAATGAATTTTAAATTTGACTATGAGATTCTTGGTAGCTGAAGTTAAATGGGAGGTTTATTCTGTAACAGAACTTTCTCCACGCACCAGGATTTTTAGGGAAAGCAGCATTCTTTCTAGTATTTTTTTCTGTCAATTATTTATAAACTTTTATTTATTTATTTATTTATTTTTTTAAAAAAGATGACCGGTAAGGGGATCTCAACCCTTGGCTTGGTGTTGTCAGAACCATGCTCAGCCAGCGAGCTAACCGGCCATCCCTATATGGGATCCGAACCCGTGGCCTTGGTGTTATCAGCACCACACTCTCCTGAGTGAGCCACAGGCCGGCCTAAACTTTTATTTTGAAGTAGTTTAAGACTCACTGGAAATTGTAACAATAGTTCAGAGATTTCCTGTGTTCCCTTCACCACCTTCTCCCATGACAATGTCTTACATAACCACCCACGATGAACAAAAGCAGGAATCTGACATTGCTCACATCACTAACTCACATACAGACCTGATTTGGATTTCACCAGTGTTTATATCTAACACTAATTTTTAAAAGAAATCCCTAAGGACTTTACGAAGAAGTCCCTAAATGGATGACAATGTCCTTAGAACCATCCTTAAGACAAATAAAATAATAGAGTTGACATGAGCTTCTATAGCCTGAGTTCAGGGCTGTAGAAGTAACATGTGCAAAGTGGAGCCAGCTTCCCTGTAAGGTTAAGGAAGACAACTGTGAGTGCCCGGCACACGCCACAGTCTTGGCTGAGGTCTTCCCCCTCCATCTTCCTCTCCCTCCTCCCTTCCTTGCCCCTGGTGGAACTTTCCTCCCCCAGTCCACGCACTCTGAGAATTTCACTAGCAGGTTCAACATCACCCTTGTGTCCTCTCCCTTTCCCCTGTGCCTGCGGGTGGAGGCAATTCCAGAGGTCCTAGGACTGGGCTGGTGGCTATGAAAAGGAATTTTGTCTCAGTGAATTCAGTGGGTACAAAAAAACCCCCTTAAGCTATTACTTGGGCATACTGCTGGGAGCCTGGCTGTTTTGCAGCCAAGATAAGGAAGGAGTTTGGGGACAGAGAGACCTGGATCTGGAATTCCTGCAGGGGGCAGTTTGTGTGCCTGGCACACAGTAAGGGCTCCTACAATGAAAGAAATTCTTACTTAATGTCTAGCTCTTTAAGACCATGGTCCTTGCACATTCCTCAAATTCAGGAGATGTGAGAGCTTCCTGCTGTGCTAAACAGCCGGTGACAGAGCACCAGCCCCCTCTCTCCAGCCTCATGCAACGTTCCCTGCAGGGCTGAAGTCTTGCCTGGTTATGCAGGTTGTGGGCGCTGGAGTTCTGCCACTTCCTAGCTGTGTAAATGACCCTGGGCAAGTCGACAAGCTTCTAGGTGCCTTAATCTCCTAGAATGATAACAATAGCAGCCACATCATAGGGCAGCTGTGAAGATTAAATGACCTTTATAAAGCACTGAGAACCATGGCTGGCTCAGTGTAAGCACCATGCAAGTGTTCGCTGCCATTACTAATAGATGCCCCATTCCTGCAAGATGTAACTCCAAGGTTCTTCCATCCTTGAAATCCTGTTCTTGATTCTTGGGGTCCCCTTCCAGTAGCAGGAGAGGATGGAGGAGAAAAATCAGGGAAGCAGGCCTTTGCAAGAGAATTTCATAGACTTTCTGGGTTTTATGAACAGCTATAACTGTGTTCTGTCTTCATGGTGAGAGAGAGTATGGCAAACTGATGGATGGGCCAGGCATGCGAGTGGGATAAACTTAATGGGTTCTCAGGGGTCTTAAAGGCCAAATGGCTTCTTGACAGTGATGTCAAGGCTAAGGGGGATGACTCCCCAAGCCGTGGAAGTGGGTCTCTTTGCATCAGGTCAGATCCCTCACCATCTCCCGGGGGAAGAAGCTCACACAGTCTTCAAGACATAGACACACAGCTTGGGGCACCTCTCCAGGCAAATGCAGAACTGCTGGGAGACCAGAGCTGAAGATAACCATGGCAATAATCTGGAGTTTCAGGGAAAGCACCAGTGCGGGCTCTAAGTGAACCCAGCCTATGATATGTAAGACGGCCCAGCACCTTCACTACGGCTCTGGAGCAGAACCAAATAGTATAAACAGAAGTTTAGCAAGGCCTTGAGTCTCAGGGCCTCTGAAATGCTTTTAAGAGGAGTCAAGGATTGATGGTTTTGTTGCTGGTGGGCAGAGTGAGGGGGTGGGGCCTGTGGCTGGTGCAGGCCGTGTCCTCCCAGACACCAGTGGAAGAGAGGAATACGGAACACATGCACGGGCTTTTGGGGGTCCGTGGACATCACCCCAGGGCGGGGTTTGTTGGCCTGTGGGCAGCACGGGGTCATGTGGGGATGGGTGAGTGGAATGAGCCCTCTCTATGCCCACATGTCCAGGTGGCAGCATGGAGTGGAGAAGGGGGGTGGTGACACGCGACTTCCCTGAGAGCAGATGGACTGCAATTCCCTCTACCTTGATAAACTTGCTCAAAAACTGTGTTGGCTTAGGGCATTCTTAGGAGGAGGAGACTGTACGTCAAGTGGATAGGAGACCAAGCTTTGACATTGGGTTCAATTCCTGCATCTGCCCTTACGTGACTTAGGCAAGCGACATAAGCTTTCTGAGAACCATCCTTCCTTTTAACAGTTTTCAGATCCACACACCCAGTCATGTCTTCAATAATTAATTCTCATTTCTCATAATCCCTTTGATTCCGTTAAGTCCTTTCTGAGTATGGAATTTACTTAACCTCAGTTTCCCCATCTGTAAAATGAGGTTGTTGAAAGGATCAAATAACTTAATACATCTGAAGTACTTAGCCCAGTGCATTGCTCATAATCAGAGCTCAACAAATGTTAATTATTATTTCTTGCAAGCCTCTCATGTGCCTGGGTACCTCTCTAGGCCTCAATTTCTTCATCTATAAAATGAGGATAACAAGTAGAGTTACTTTAGAGGAGTATGCAAAGATACATTAGGTAAGAGGTATGTCATGTGCTTTGTCCACAGCAAGCTTTTAGTAACTGGAAGCTGTTACTGTTACTCAGGTAAGTGCATGCTGGCTAGCTTCTCGTGTTCTCTAAACGTGCCTCTGAGGATGTCCTGCAACACAGCAGAGAAACTGGTCAGGTCCTGGGAGTAACGATCCCTGATATTTGTAGAATTTTCCCATGTGCTCTCTCACTTAATCCTCATCCCCACCACTGGGGCTGTTGCAACCCCAGCTCCAGCGGGTGCCATGCTCAGAGAACACCATGCGATGGTGCCTCTAGGAGCTGTGCAGCATGGCAGGACTGTCCCCACTCAAGATCACAGGCAAAGGAGGCCAAGTTGGTGAGTGGCACTCGCACTGATCCCCACTGGAACTAATCTCCCTGGAACCCTGGCCTAACAGCGAAATTGTTCTCCATCATTCAGGCAGCCATTGGGAGCAAA